TATTTTATATAATATTTAAATTAATAATAAAAATTGTTAAACATTAGAACTGGGTCCCACATTAGCGACCAACGTTGGTCTCTATTTCATTAAGCGACCAACTTTGGTCGCTCGCTTTTGAATTATATTTATTTATATTTTAATTTTTTTTAAAATAAATATATATTTATTAAAATATTATAACTAGGTCTCATGCTAGCGACCAATGTTGGTCGCTATCAACTTATCCTTCAATTAGCGACCAACGTTGGTCGCAAGTTTTAAATTATATATATTTATATTTTATAAGTTTTGTAAAATAATAATAAAATTATTAACAAATTTAATGTGGGTCCCACTTTAGCGACCAATATTGGTCGCTAATCTTAGTATATATTTGACCAAGCAAGTCTGACCAGTCCAGTCAAATTTGGTCACTTTTCTTGACAGACCAAATTTGGTCGCTAATTAGTAGTGATATATATGCTTAAGATATTTCTTGTTACGTTAAAACATTTGGATCTCACGCTTTAGTTTCTCATGTAGATGGCATTTGAGCTCTATGGCATGCTTGCTGGCAATGTTAGTCCCATTACCGGTGAAAATATTAAGCCAGCTTACGGAGGGGAGGAGGAGGCTTTCTTTCGAAAAATTGTTACTCCTATTGATGAAGTGATTGCACGGGTATTACATGCATTTCAGAGCTATTTGTTCCTCTCCAATCTATTGTATTAAAAAAAAAAATCAGTTGTGGTATTTTACCTTTCTTTAGAACTTGAAGGGAAGCCGAGGGTCTATCGGAAACAGTCTCTCTGTCCCATCGGGGTAATGCTACCTTCCCAAGACCCCACTTATGGAATTTTACTGGGTCGTTGTTATTGTTGTTGTATAGAACTTGAGGGAAAATCAATTTTACACCCTTTTCTGTCATTTTCAGGAAGCTGCTAGGAGCAGAAGAGGAAAAGCAAAGCATTCCCAAAGGAGGATCTATGATGATTTAAACGAATACTTTTGGTAGTCAACCTTTCAGTTTTCTGTTTGTTTTTCTAGTTCAGTTAATCGATATTTTGCTCATTTTTACTCAAAAACTGTAGGTCAGTGAACTGCTTCAGGTTAGGTTGGCCCATGCGCGCTGATGCTGATCTCTTTTGCCTCCCTGTGGAAGAACTTCGAGCTAAGAGAAACAGAATCTATTTTGTACATAGGGTGTCCGCTACTAATATATCACTATTTTCTAAAGACATATATATGTATGTACATGGAATTTTTGCCGAACTTTACAGGTATGTACCGGTGACCCCTCATTCTATAGCATAAGTCTTTTGGATTCAACAAAAATTTGTTTTATATATAGGGTGTCCGCTATTAATATATCACTATTTTCTAAAGACATATATATATATATATATATATATATATATATATATAAAAATTTTGCCGAGCTTTACGTGTACCGCTGACCCCTCTCGGTATTGCATAGGAACAGCAGCAAGAATGGAACAGAGATGGTGCAGAGCTGTACAGAGTTGCAGTAAGAGAGTTCAAGGAAGAAGCAAGCTCTAGAGACAAATATGAATTTAATCACTGCTCTAATTAGTTGCAGTGTCCAACTGTAATATTTATTAGTTTCTTCACTAGTATTCATTGTTACACTACTGGTGTTTGCCGTGCAGTCCCAACCCTTACACTAAAAATCACATTTCAGTTCATTTTTGTAATAATTGCAAGAAAATACACGTATTTGTGCATTTTTGTCTTATCATGATCTAAGTTGTCTATAGTTATGTATTCAACACTTAATGAATCAGCTGTAGCACCAGGCTCAACATCTTCTTTATCATGATAATTAAATTTATAAGTAACACCATTTTCTTAACATGTATAAAAATAAGTAATTCAATAAAAAAAATCTCAAAACAGTAATAAAAAACTCCAAAAATTCTTCCGCCTTCAGGCCTTTAATCTTGATTCTATTAAACTAAGTTTTTGATATTTTTGAACATCCTTTTAGTCACTAACTCAAAGTCACTAAGTTTTTAAGGAGTTAACATGTCAGATTTTGCCATTACTAGCTGACATATCTATGTCAATAACGGTGCCCTTGTTGCGCTCAAATCGTGGGTCCGCGCTGCGCTCAAATCTTGGGTCCGCCTCTGACTGTAGCACCACGCTCAACATCTTGATCTATACGCTTAATCACTTCAATATAGTAAAAGCTGATCAAACTACTTTTAAGCACTTTTTAAATTTTTGGAGTGTTTGACAAACAAAAAAGCTGCTTAAAAAAAAAGCTAAAAATGCTTTTAAAAAGCCAAAAACAACAAGTTGGCTGACCCAACTTTTTCCATTTTGGCTTAAAAGCCATTTTAGTTTGACCAATAAAATTATTCTCTTGTCCCTAATAAGTTTTTATAATACCAAAATTATCCCCGGTCAAATAAAACCTACTAAAACATTGTACTTCTCTTATTTCCTTCACTTTGAAGACTTTCGTTCCTCAAATCCTCTCCATCTCTGCTACATCTTCATTTTGAAATACTAATTAAAGCTTTTCAACCCTGAGGGGTAGCTCGGCTGGTAAAGGCTTGAGGACAAAGTCCTTCAGGTCGCCGGTTCGAGCCCCAGCAGGGCCACTGGAGGCTTACAAACCGGTCGCGTCTCCAGGGCCCCGTGGAACTAACCGTGGTGGACCTGCCTTGAAACAGCGGGACCTGGTGGGTACAGCTAGTCGGGTTCGCAAAGCGATCGCCCAGAAACCACGGCAAAAAAAAATAAAAAAATTAAAGCTTTTCTGTTTCTTATACTACTTTAACGTCTTCAGAAATATTAATTATATTTCCTCCCATCTTCTCTCTTTTTTGTTTTTGTTATTTATATATACCATTGGTTGACAAAAGAAGTTGATGAAAACTTAGCTACTTGTCTTGCATGAGTGCTTCAGTTATGGTTTTGAGGATTAACAACATCAGCTTAGTAGCTACATTTCATGATTCCTAGCCAGTTAGTTAACTTTATGTTTCCATTTCAGTTAAATGGAGAGTTTGAACTTTAGCGACTTGGCATTTTAAATAGGTTGAGACTTTTATGGAAGTTTACTTGATTGAAACTGGTGAAAAATGAGCATTCAAGAATTATATTTATAAAAATTATCTAAAGTAATCAATTAAATTGAAATTAAGTTAAAATATAAATTATTTTTTATTTGCATTAATTCATAATTAAATATATTGTATTAATCAGCTCCTTTATAATGTTAACACCTTTAAGGATATTTTTGTCTCTTTAATAGGAAAAAGTGTTTACTAGTACTTGTTTGCCAAACACTTCAACAGCTCTTTTTAAGTTTCAGCACTTTTATCCAAACAGATAATTATTTATTTATAAAATAAGCTCTAGCACTTAAAAGCTGCTTGTAAGCACTTGTGCTTAAAAGCCATTTTTTTAAGTCAATCCAAACGGGCTCTATGTCAACGCTACCACGTTTGCTACTACTAGCTGACATATCTTGACTTATTATGTAGATTACCAAGAAAATTAGCTTGTGAATAATACCAGACCTTCAAATGTGAAAGATATGGAAGAAATATATGATCTCACAAATAAGGCAACAGATTAGTCCTTGCCTGAAAAGGTGAATGACAGAAAACTTGCAGTAGGTGTTTTCAAGCTATACGATCCTTCTTCTGTATCTCATATACGGCAAAGGGCCATATATGCCCTGTATTATGAGAAAAGGTTTAAATATAGTCTTCGTTATACTTTGGGTCCAAATATACCCCTGCCATAATACTATTGGTTCAAATATACCCCTTTTCTGATAAGTTTGTCCAAGGTGGACATTCAATCCTACGTGGCACAGACATTTGATGAGGTGAAAGTCACATGGCAATGTCACCTCAGCGCCCCTAATTCTTATATAAAATACTAAAATTTGAAATACAATATTTTTCATGGTAGCGGTAATGGTGGCAATAGTGGTGGAGGGGAAGAAAATTTTAGTAGTGGAAAAAAAAATAGAAGCGAGGTAAAATGGGTTAGGAGCGCTAAGGTGACAAGCTATGTGATATCCAACTCATCAAATGTTAGTGTCACGTTGGATTGGAGGTCCACTTTGGATAAACTTAACGGAAAAGGGATATATTTGAACCAATATTACAACGACATGGATATATTTGGACTCAACGTATAATGAGGGATAAATTTAAACCTTTTTTCGATAGTACAATGATATATTTGGCCCTTTTCCGATCTTATATATGACAGTGAAGGGCTTAACAGAGAAAACTTGCGGTAGGATACGATGTTATAACCATTTTTCCTACGCCTTAACCAAATAGCTTCTTTTAAGATTAATTGAGATCGATAGGCAACTGTAGTTTTTACAGAGTTGAAGCAATGGTGTTAACATATCTCAGTTGAATAAATCTCCCTAATTTAGACTTTTGGTAGCTTATTAATGAGAATATAATTTAGGAAAAGGAAAGCGGAAAAACAAATTGAATAACATATTAGATGATTTAGGCTAGGCGACGAGCAATATTATAGCTTGAGAAAAAAGAAAATATAAACATTGTTTAAGACCACGAGTTCCAAAATTCATTGGTAGTGTAGCACGTCCATGACCAACATAAATTATGTTCATATCAAAATAAACTCACTTGGAGTCTCTTTAATTACACTTCATGCATCATGCATGTTACCAATATATTATTTTTCCTCGTGTATATTGTGGGGTCCAGCCCACATTTCAAGGAAGAAATTTTCTTCCTTCCTCACTTTTGTCAAAGTTGTTAATAGCAGCAGCCCACGTTTTTGTTTTCTGTCAAAAATGGCACGCTGTAGAGATGAAGCTGTCAAATGAGGTAGGCTGTATTCTGCCTATAAAATGAGAGTTTCGCCTCTCATTTTTATCATCACAATCTCAGAAGAAAATATATCTGAGAGCTAGAAAGAAAGAGTGAGGTTTCACAGACAGGGTATAAGAAAATAGTCTGTGAAGAAAATAAAGAGTGAGTGATATTGTAGTGAGGTGAAATATCAAAAGAGGGTTATTTCTTTTGAGTGTTGTAGTGGTCTTTGTAGTATTTTACTTGGGCCTACAAAGTGTAAAATCCTTACTATAGTGATATCAGTTACTCCTCTCGGGGTCGTGATTTTTTCCTTTATTCAAAAGGGTTTTCCACGTAAAAATCTTGGTGTTATTGTTACTCTTTTATTCTTGTTAATTATCGTATCTCGGTGCTACATTATTATTCTGTTTTTATTACCGTGAATATTATTTTGGTAGGGGGTTTATTTCCCAACAACTGGTATCAGAGCACAGGTTCTGCTCGTTCACTGAAATACTATACACTGTCGGTAGTACTATACTTGGTGAAAAATAAAAATATCCAGAGTAAAGTACGAGGTAGCAAAATTCAACGGAGATAACGGTTTCTCAACATGGCAAAGAAGTATAAGAGATCTGCTCATCCAACAAGGATTACACAAGGTTCTAGATGCTGATTCCAAAAAGCCTGATACCATGAAAGCTGAGGATTGGGCTGACTTGGATGAAAGAGCTGCTAGTGCAATCAGGTTGCACTTATCAGATGATGTAGTAAATAACATCATTGATGAAGATATTGCACGTGGAATTTGGACAAGGTTGGAAAGCCTATACATGTCCAAAACGCTGACAAATAAATTGTACCTGAAGAAGCAGTTATACGCCCTACACATAGTGAAGGTACGAATTTTTTGTCACATTTAAATATGTTTAACGGACTAATCACACAGCTTGCCAACCTCGAAGTGAAAATCGAGGAAGAAGATAAAGTCATCTTGCTATTGAACTCGTTGCCATCTTCGTACGATAATTTGGCAACAACCATCTTGCACGGTAAGACTACTATTGAGTTGAAAGATGTCACGTCGGCTCTTCTACTCAATGAGAAGATGAGAAAGAAGTCTGAAAATCAAGGACAGGCTCTCATCACAGAAGGTAGAGGCAGGAGTTATCAAAGGAGTTCGA